CTGAAGCAGCCAGGAACCAGGAACTCCATCTGGGTCTCCCACATGGGTGGCAGGAACTCAGGTACTTAGTCTTCATCCACTGATTAGCAGGGAGCTAGATCAGAAAGCAGAGCAGCTGGGATCCAAACCAGCCCTCCCAAACAGGATGTGGGTATCACAGATGGGAACTTAACCCATTGCACCACCATCCCAGAGAGAAATGACTTGAATGAGGAAGCTATAGGTCTCCTTTACATCCAGAGTGTTATATTAGGTTCTAGCTGTCATAGTTTTAGAGAGAAGAGTGGTAATACCCGTAACCGTTTAATGTAAGGAACGGTTCTTCTTGGCTTGCGTCTCTGCATATACCTGAGAGCACTTGAGGGATATTGATACACCTGGGGCTCATCCTCAGGAATTCTGTCTGGTCTGTGGTGGGCCCCAGACACTAGTAACGTTTTAGCTCCCCAGTTGTTTGTGGTGAGTAATTGGGACTGTGAACTCTTGGTTAAGGGACTTGGAATGTTTAACTAGGAAAAGACTCAAGTCTGCTCTGCAAGAATCATATGTGGGAGTTTGGGAAAATAAACCTGAGTTCCACCCCTGGAGAAAATTTGGTGGATTTAGTGAGGACTGGTTTTGAAATCTTCCCTGGGAAATTGTTGTAGAGCCAAAGGGCTGGGTTGGTCTCAAACTTAAATTCGCCTCTGAGTTGCCAGGGGATCTTGATAAAGTAGGGAGTTCTGATTTGTTAGGGCTGGTGTAGAACCTGAGTGTCTACACTGCCAACAGGCTGCTAGGTGATGCTGATGAAGCCGATCTGGGAAGCAGATTGAGTCATTACACAAACAACTCAAGCAATGAATGTGGTGGAGAGAGTGGTTAAGACTAAGGAGCATCCTGAGAGTGCTAGTGAAGTCATTAGTGAAGTCAGTGAAACCTCCGAGATGCATTTATTTAGGTAGTGTAGAAAGAATGTTGGCTTAGGAGTTAGGTCTGCTATCACATTCATTTTATTTTAGATTTATGTATTTATCTATATTTTAAAGGCAGAAAGAGAGAGAGAGTATTTTAAAGGCAGAAAGAGAGAGAGAGAGAGACAGAGATTTTCTATCCACTGGTTTACTCCCCAAATGGCCTCAAAAGCCAATTTTGGAGCCAGAAATTCCCACATGGTTAGCAGGGGCCCAAGTTCTTTTGTCATCTTCTGCTATTTTCCCAGGCATATTAGCAGGAAGATGGATCATAAGCAGAATAGCTGGGACTCGAACCAGCTCTCTGACCAGTGTGTGGTTTACTATTGGTTACTTTGAACAAGTCATTTCACCTTTTTGAGTCAGTTTCCAATCTGCAAAATAGATAACAATAACTTCTCCTTGTAATATTAGCAGTTAAATAATGTATTTAAGGGGCTGGTGCTGTGGCGTAGCGGGTTAAGTCATTGCCTACAGCACTGGCATCCCATATGTGCTCCGGTTTGAGTCTTGGTCGCTCCTCTTCTGATCCATCTCTCTGCTATGGCCTGGAAAAGCAGTAGAAGATGGCCCGAGTTCTTGGGCCCCTGCACCTGCATGGGAGACCCGGAAGAAGCTCCAGGCTCCTGGCTTTGGCTTGGCCCAGCTTTTGCCATTGCAGCCATTTGTGGAGTGAACCAGCAGGATGGAAGGCCTCTCTCTCTCTCTCTGCCTCTGCCTCTCTGTAACTGCCTTTCAAATAAAGAAATCTTTAAAAATGTGTATTTAAAGGAGTTAGCATAGCTTTGGATACTAAACAGTCTACAGAAAACTGATGAGTGTTACTGTTTATGCTGTGGAATCCTCTTGTTGGAAGATTGGAACTGTGGTTAATATGCATGAAAAGTATTGTTAGGAACATTTCATCAGTTTTGCATTAAGAAACAAGTTGCTTCTATTCTGCAGTCAAGAGTAAACCATAATTACTTAAGTAGAAATTATCGTGGCCTAATAAAGAATACTTGTTCTTGTCTGTCCCTGCATAATTAACTTTTTTTTTTTTTTTTTTTTTTTTTTTTTTAAGATTCACTTATTTATTTGAAAGGCAGAATTACAGAGAGGCCGAGAGAGAGAGGTCTTCCATCCTCTGGTTCACTCCCCAGATAGAGAGAGAGAGAGGGAGAGAGGTCTTCCATCTGCTGGTTCACTCCCCAGATGGCCATAGCAGCTGGAGCTGTGCTGATCTGAAGCTAGGAGCTAAGAGCTTCTCCCAGGTCTCACCTGCTGGTGCAGGGGCCCAAGGGCTTGGGCCATCTTCTACTGCTTTCCCAGGCCATAGCAGAGAGCTGGATCAGAAGTGGAGCAGCCGGGACTTGAACTGGCGCCCATATAGGATGCCAGCACTGCAGGCAGTGGCTTTACCCACTATGCCACAGTGCCAGCTCCCATAATAAACTTTTGTGACCATCTTAGGTCTTGGACTGATGAAATGACAGGTATCATGGATTCAAAGTAATATTTGTTGAGCACTTGTTATTGAGCAAATTCTGAAATATGACGGCATAGAGCACATTTCAGACCTTAGCTCCTTTGAGCTCACTGTCCTCTTCATCTCTTTTCCTTGTTCAGGATTCCTCTGTTGTCCCCATCCTCCTCAAAGCTTGGGCTTCAGGCTGGGCTAATATTCTTTTAGCACCCTAGGCACCCTTATCATGCACATGTCCTCCCTAGCTTGGGAGCTTTGTCTCCTCCTGATCCCTTTTTCACCTGCAGGCTTGAATGCATGGAGCTCTTAGTAGCTCCCTAACTTGGTACAATGCCTGCCACGAACTTATTGTTGAGCTGATTGAATGACACAGGATGCCCTCCAAGGGATTAGAATCTGAGGTGTGGAAGAGGTCAGGAAAGGCTTCCTGGAAATATAGTCATTGAGCTGAGATTTAAGGAGAATTAGCAGGGGGTGGGGTTGGGGGAGAGTGGCAGGAAAGCATGGTGCATTTAAGGCACTGCACATGGTTTGTATGAGACAAAGCGTGAGGATATATATGCAGGAGAAGTGGGGGAAGTTAGAGAATAGGCAAGGTTGGCATGACAGACAAATGGCAGAGCTAAGGGAATTGGACTTTATCTTGAGGATAATTGGAGACCAGTGATGGATTTGTTGCAGGAATGTGTGGAGAGTAGGTTGAGGGTGATACTAGATACAGGAAAGTTGATTAGGAGTTTGACTTAAGCCACGTAATTAGATCCCAGCTGTTATATTTAGTGCCTTTTCTGGTTTTAACTCGTCTTCCTCAGACCAGAGTGGTTCACTCCAGAAGTGCCTATTGCCTCATTTGCCTCAGGTGGGGCTTTGGCTTGCAATAGTAGCAGACCTTGGAGTATTATTTTTCCCAGCTGCCCAGATCAGGCAGAAGGTATAGCCACTCTTGTTTACAGAGTGAAGTGAATAGCAAGAGGCCTTTGGTAAGTGCTCTGTTTACTGGATGTTAATACCAGGACTGCTATGTCCTAGCTATGCGGACATTGGGAAAAGTTATATAGCCTCTGTGAATCTCATCCATAAAATGAATCTTTGGTGCTTCTTGGATAATTGAATTAGATTATTGATGATGAAAACAATAATGACCATTTAGTAAACATTAATATTAATTACAACAAATTGGCACAGAGAGAAATTATTTATTATTGAAGATTTCATTTAAGTTCAGGAAGCAGTTAGTGAGTGGTTTTGACCATTGTTTCATTAAGGAAGTACTTGGGACTTAGAAATCATTTATACTATAACCAAATTATAATTTAATGCAATTAGCTCTTGAACTTGATTTTTATATTTAGACTCTTGAGCTACTACAGAAAACGGAGCTGTTGCCTGGACTGTGACATTGCTCATGTGCTTTTTTGATATTAATGCCCATCTGCTGGCCAAATACGCAAGAGGAAACTTTTGAGTACAAGTTGGAATACAAAATGGAATATGTAGGGGCTGACACTGTAGCATAGCAGGTTAAGGTTCCATCTGCATCACCAGCATTCCATTTGAGAGCTCTACTTCCAATCCAGCTCCTTAATGATGTGCCTGAGAAAGTAGCGGAAGATGGCCCAAGTCCTTAGGCCTCTGCCACCCACATGGGAGACCTGGAAGAAGCTCCTGGTTCCTGACTTTGTCCTGGCCTGGCCCTAGCTGTGGCAGCCATTTGGGGAGTGAACCATGGGATGGAAGATCTCTCTCTCTCTTTCTCTCTGTAACTCTGCCTTTCAAATAAATTTTTTTAAAAATCTAAAAAAAAAAAAAAAAAAAGAATATGTGAGATTGTCCGAGGCTTAGAAAGAATTACATGCCTTTTCCTAGATGCCTGACCAGTTTCTAATCATATGAGGGCCTAACTTTGTCTGAAAGTAAATAAAAGGTCTTGCCGTCTTCAGTAACACTGCTCAATAGAACTTTTCTTTGTCCTTCTCTGTTTAGGTTTTAAGTAACCAGATCCTCTTCGACAATATGAAACACAGATTAAAACTAACTCTAACAATCCTAGGATTATGGGCTCAGGAGAATAAATCTTGGGTTGACTGCGAGACGAGTTCATTTAAGTCTTATTTTGAAGAAAGCAGCTATGGAACAGGCAGCCCTGAGCTTGGCTTATTTTTCATTCTTGGCTCCCCAAGATCAATTCCTCACAATCCTTTGTGTATATGATACATGCGTGGTTGTTCTTGAGAACCACGGTGGGTCACTGGCAGCAGTAGTTAGAACTGGCCATGGCTTTTGACCCAGTCCTCATCCCTGGTCAACAACAGAATTTGAAGGAAGCAGGAATCACAGTGATTGAAACACTTACGTGTTTATCTATGTCTGCAGTGCCACCCAAGTCACAGGTTAGCATATCTTTGGAGATTAACTTCAAACTAGAGAATTCCAGAACATGCTGGGTATCTGACCATGACACCATCTTTCTCTCCTGGGTATAGACTGCCCACCATAGCTCACTCTCAAATGCTGCTTTAGAGAGTACAGGGGAGGGGCATTAATGTGCAACGCCTGCCTGATTGGCACCTTTTGTGTTCCAGCAACAGCTGCAGGCGTATGTGGCCTGGGTAAATGCCCAGCTGAGGAAGAGGCCCACAGTGAAGCCTGTGCAGGACCTGCGGCAGGATCTCCGGGATGGGGTGATCCTGGCATACCTCATCGAGATTGTTGGTGAGTTGGCTCTGGATGCTGAGGCTACAGCATGGCCTTCTTTACCCTTCGTGTGCCCCTCAAAGCCCCTCTAGAATGTTTGGCCATGGACAGAGTGAAGACTTAAAATACTTGGCCAGACACTGTGTGCCAGGCACTGCCTTATGCTCTGGGAGTTTGATGATGAGCAGTCTGTGCTCTCAGAAGTCTCCCCGTTTCGTTAGAAAGACTGGAAAGTGAAGTCACTTCCATTAATGGACTTAGGACTCCGGTGGGGCAAGCACAGAGGAAAACGCAGCCAGTCTTAAGGGCTCAGGGGTAACCTAGCAGAAGAATTGATGTCTCAACTGAGGCCTGCCAGAGAAGCTGATAGCTGAGCCAAGGCCAGAAAAGGAAGCAGCAGCCAGATAAAAGGGGGGTGTGTTCTCCGGAAAAGGCCCCAGTGCAATACTCGCTGTCATAATGCTGCAGAGAAAGGTTTGCCTCTGGAAGCCCTGGAGTTGTTGCCAGTTTGGTATCATCTATTAAGCATTTGCCCACAGCTCTGTTATTATTTCTGTCATGAAACAGTAATCATTTGTGGCAATCACTTGTTTACCTATCTGTCTCCTGTAGAAACTGAACAGGTATAGAATAATGTTCCTCTGTTTCTCCAACCCCTAAGCAAATGCACGTAATTGATTCTCAAACCTTTATTGTTATATCAAGCAGCTCACCTTGCTTAGAACCCTGAGAGACATGGAGCCTGCACGTGGGGTGGAAGACACCTGATTGCAGCAGGCATCCTATCCACGAACACTTCCTTGGGACAGCTCATGAACTCATCAGAGGATTCATTTTAATGAAAATAACGGGACTCATAGTCACAGTAGCTGCCAGGATTTGGAATTCTGTCTTGCTTAATTTCATTTCATTTAATCATCACCCCCTTGGGAAACAGATACTATTATTCCCCCTTTCAGAAACAAGCTTACAAGAGAAGATTTATAAAAATAAATACATTCAGGGGCCAGCGCTGTGGTGTAGCGGGTAAAGCCACCGGCTGCTGTGCCGGCATCCCATATGGGTGCTGGTTGGAGTCCCGCCTGCTCCACTTCCAATCCATCTCCCTGCTAATGCACCTGGGAAAGCAGTGGAAGATGACCCAAGTCCTTGGGCCCTTCCACCCATTTGGCAGATCTGGAAGAAGCTCCTGGATCCTGGCTTCGGATCAGCCCAGCTCCAGCCGTTGCAGCCATTTGGGGAATAAACCGGCAGATGGAAGATCTCTCTTTCTCTCTCTGCCCTTGCCTCTCTGTAACCTTGTCTTTCAAGCAAATAAATAGATCTTTAAAAAAATACATTCATAGAGTACTTAATATGTGTCAAAGTAGCTGAGCAAGGTACTTTGAATTATTTGTGATATGGCTGTGAGGAGTTGAGAACCCCCCTCTGAAATGCTTTGGCCCAGAAGTGTTAACAGATTTTGGATTTTTTGGATTTTAGAATATTTGCATAGACTAAATCTGAAATGCTCCAAAATCTGAATTATTTTGAGCATATCATGTCGTTGCTCAGAATGTTTAAGGTTTGGAGCATTTCAGAGTTTGGATTTTGAGATTAAGGATGCTTAGCCTATACGACTACTCTTTTGCTCATTTTATGTAGTTTAGAGAGGCTAAGCACCTTTACAAGGTCACCTTACTATAAGTGCCTAAGTAAAGGTACCAGCTTAGATTTGCTTTAATTCCAAAGCCCATTTTAAAATTTAGGTTTTCATTGATTTGAATAGGCTGTTCATAAATTATTAGGAAATCCAGATAGTACAAAAGAATATAGAATCAAAAGCCTTTTTTCTACCTATATCTCCCTCCTAGCTGCCCATTCTTCTTTTTGGTGACAGCAGTGTTAGCAGTTTGTTACATTTCTTTCCAGAGATAATCTGTGCATACAGAGGCAATATGAATATGTCATTTTTTGTTGGTTTGTTTGCTTTTTCTTTTTCTTTTTTAAAAATATTTTATTTATTTATTTGAGAGGTAAAGTTCAGACAGTGAGAGGGAGAGACAGAGAGAAAGGTCTTCCTGACATTGGTTCACTCCCCAACTGGCCGCAACGGCTGGAGCTGCGCCAATCCAAAGCCAGGAGCCAGGAGCTTCTTCCTGGGCTCCCACGTGGGTGCAGGAGCCCAAGGACTTGGGCCATCTTCTACTGCTTTCCCAGGCCATAGCTGAGAGCTGGATTGGAAGAGGAGCAGCTGGGGATAGAACTGGTGCCTATATGGGATGTTGGCGCCACAGGCGGAGGATTAACCTACTGTGCCACAGCGCTAGCCCCATGAATATATCATCTTATTTTCCCAAAACCCAGCTTCTCAAATACTGCTTTCCATTGTTTTTGCTGTATAGAAAAGCCTCCCAAGATTGTGTCTGTACTCGTGAAATTTATTTCCTTATTTTGTATTCGTTCTGTAACCCTCCCTCATTAGGCTTTTGATCCCACAACTCCACTGGGACTGCTTCCCTTGGGATCCTGACTTGCACCTTGTCAAATCCAGGGGCCAGCCCTCAGTCCTTGTTTTGCCTGACTTAGCAGGGCCTGGTAGAGTAGATCATTACCACCTCTTTCAAAGACTCTTCGCTTGGCTTCCAGGATGCTCTAGATCTCTGGCTTTCCTCCCTCCTCACTGGCTGCCCTCCTCACTTGCTTTGCTGTCTTTTTCTCCTTGACCTGTAAATTGTTGGAGTGATAGAGGTCCTGTCCTTCATGTATTCTCTACCCCAGAGCGATCTCTTCTCACATTTGTGTAATTAGCCTTGAACTTTCCCTTGACTTCTGCACATGACTGCCTGACTTCCTGTTCAATGTCTGTACGTTGTCTAGTATGCAGCACTAACTTCACACATCTTGATCAAAACTTTGGATTTCCTCCCCAGCAACCAGTCCCTTTGTCCTCAAGGTTTCTTTTTTCCTTTGATGTTTGTTTGTTTTATTGCGAAGGCAGAGGACCAGAGAGGGAGAGATAGACAGATTGTCCGTATGCTGGCTTACTCCGCAAATGCCCACAACAGCCAGAGCTGAGCAAGGCTGGAACTTAGTCCAGGTTTCTCACATAGTGGAAGGGACCCAAATACTTGAGCCAGTACTTGCTGGTGTCCAGAGTGCACGTTAGGAGGAAGCTGGGATAGAGACCAGAGCCAGAACTTAAACCCGGGCTCTCCGATATGGGATGTGGACATCCCAAGTGGCAGTTTAAACACTGCACCAAATGCCTCGATCCAGATTCTTCATCTGAGGGGCACATCACACTACCATTCACCCACCTGCTGAACCAGAACAACTTAGAAGTTGTGTTTGGGGCCGGCGCTGTGGCATAACAGGTAAAGAAAAAGAAGTTGTCTTTAATTATTCTCTTTTCCTCATATATCATATTTAATCCTTCACATATACTGTCTGCTTTATATCAATGTATACCCAGTATCTGGCTTCTTAACAGTCAGCCTCTTACACTCTTGGCCCAAACTAAGCCATCATTATCTTTTGCCTTGACTGTTTCATTATCCTTTTGACTGATCTCCTTGTTTGCTCTCTATATAGTCTATATCCACAGAGTCAACTTTTAGAAACATAAGCCACAGGGGCCGACACTTTGGTGTAACAGAAAAAGCCACTGCCTGCAGTGCCGGCATTCTGTATGGGTGCTGGTTCGAGTTCTGGCTACTCTTCTTCTGATCCAGTTTTCTGCTATTGCCTGGGAAAGCAATAGAAGTTGGCTCAAGTGCTTGGGCCCTGGCACCAACATGGGAGACCTGGAAGAAGCTCCTGGCTCCTGGCTTCGAATCAGTGAGCTCCAGCCATTGTGGCCATCTGGGGAGTGAACCAATGGATAGAAAACTGCTCTCTCTCTCTGCCTCTGCCTCTCTCTCTCTGTAACTCTGCCTTCCAAATAAATAAATAAATAAATCTTAAAAAAATAAGGAAGTGAGGCCGGCGCCGTGGCTCACTAGGCTAATCCTCCGCCTAGCGGCGCCGGCACACCGGGTTCTAGTCCCGGTCGCCCCTCTTCCAGGCCAGCTCTCTGCTGTGGCCAGGGAGTGCAGTGGAGGATGGCCCAGGTGCTTGGGCCCTGCACCCCATGGGAGACCAGGAGAAGCACCTGGCTCCTGGCTCCTGCCATCGGATCAGCGCGGTGCGCCGGCCGCAGCGCGCCGGCCGCGGCGGCCATTGGAGGGTGAACCAACGGCAAAGGAAGATCTTTCTCTCTGTCTCTCTCTCTCACTGTCCACTCTGTCTGTCAAAAAATAAAAAAAAAAAAAAATAAGGAAGTGGAGCAGCCAGGACTCAAACTGGCACCCATATGGGATGCCGGCACTCCAGGCGGCCGCTTTACCCGTTGCACCATAGTGCTGGCCCCTAAATAAATAAATTCTTTTAAAAAAAAATAAACCAGATAATTTCACTCCCATATCTCAAGATCTCTTTCCTGTCCATCATTCTTTTTTTTTTTTTTTTTTTTTTTGACAGGCAGAGTGGACAGTGAGAGAGAGAGACAGAGAGAAAGGTCTTCCTTTTTGCCGTTGGTTCACCCTCCAATGGCCGCCGTGGCTGGCGCGCTGCGGCCGGCGCACCGCGCTGATCCGATGGCAGGAGCCAGGAGCCAGGAGCCAGGTGCTTTTCCTGGTCTCCCATGGGGTGCAGTGCCCAAGCACCTGGGCCATCCTCCACTGCACTCCCTGGCCACAGCAGAGAGCTGGCCTGGAAGAGGGGCAACCGGGACAGAATCCGGTGCCCCGACCAGGACTAGAACCCAGTGTGCCGGCGCCGCTAGGCGGAGGATTAGCCTAGTGAGCCGCGGCGCCGGCCTGTCCATCATTCTTAGAATAAAATTCAAGTTCTTTACTCTAGTTCACAGAACCCTATATCATCTAGCCCTTGCCTACTTCTCTGTCCTCTCCTAGGAGAAACTCAAGTGTGGAAAGAGATTTTGTCTTTTTCTTTTTTAAAGATTTATTTTATTTATTTGTTGGGAGATGGAGAAACAGATATCTTCCATACACTGGTTCACTCCAATGGCCAGGCTTGGCTCAGGCCAAAGCCAGTAGCCTGGAACACCATCTGGGTCTCCCAAATGTGTGGCGGCCTCTGCTTTCCCAGGCATGTGAGCTGGGAGCTAGATTGGAAACAGAGCAACTGGGACTGGAACCGGCACCTGTATGGGCACACATCAGTCCTGATTTTGTCTTTCTTATTCACTACTATGTCTGATGTCCAAAACAATGTCTGACACACAGTGGGTGCTCAATGGATATTTGGATTTCCCCCCCAATTTTAATTAATTTGAAAGAAAGAGAGACAGAGACAGCAACCTCTAATTTCACTGGTTCACTCCTCAAATGCTCACAACACTGTGGCTAGGTCAAGCTGAAGCCAACAGTCAGGAACTCATTCTGAGTCTCCCATATGGGTGGCAAGAACCCAGCTTTTAGAGCCTTCACCACTGCCTCCCAGAGTGTGTATTAGCAGGAAGCTGGAATCAGGAGCATAGCTAGAACTTGAACCTAGGTACTCTGATGTGGAATGCAGGGTGTCCCAAGTGGTGTCTTAACCACCAGCCAAGCTCCTGCCCCTTCATGGACATTTGTTGAGTGATAAATGTACACGTGGTGACTTCACAGGCTCTTGGGAATAGATTTGAAAACTGGAAGGCACCCTGAAAAGCTTTTTATTTTCCTCTTCTCCATCCAAATTACACACACCAGGACTTAACTCACTTACATATTTATGGATAATTTTAGTAGTCATATCAAATATTCCCTCTGGTTGCAGTGAAATGTTGATACTATTCCTCCCTATAATGTCCTATTTTCTGTCTCCTAACAGCAGGAGAAAAGCTGAGTGGCGTACAGTTGAGTCCTAGTAACCAACAAGAGATGAAAAGTAATGTGGAGAAAGTGCTACAGTTTGTGGCCTCCAAAAAGATTCGTATGCACCAGACTTCGGCTAAAGGTCAGTGACTCATCACATCCCCTGGTGGTGAATGAATATACCCAGGACAATCAACACCTGCCGGGCTCAGAAGAACCCTTGCTTGTGTAGCCAAGGGTTCTGAGTAGACTGGAGTAGGATCAAGCTCATGGCCTCTTGTCATTTTTCCATAAAGAAAGTTGTCTTCGGTTGGAGTGATTATCAAATCCAGCTGTTTTGGAAACCTGGGTGGAGAAAGACATTCTTTATTCATTGTAACTGGATACAAGTTTGCTTGAGTGTGTAGGAAAATTAATAGTTAGAGAAGAAATTAGAAAATTAGTACATTAATTTTAGAATATCTTATTTAAGTTATCAAAAATGAAGGTAAATTACATGTTTCAAGAGCCTTCAGTGTCATGACCAAGTATTACTTCAAATTATCTTACCCTATACTTTATCTATGCAGTGTTCTAGAGAAAAATGTTTTATCGCATTTTTTGGATATCAGAACATTGCAGGCAGGATGAAAGGGGCTCTGTGATCTCTGCATCTGCTCTCTTGTAGAGCGGCATGGCCCCAGGGTTGCCCATCCACTTTGAGCCTGGGCTGTGAGGAAGGAACAGTGGAGGTACCCTGGGAGAGCACAGGCTCTCTAGTCCTCTCACTGTTTCTCGAGGACTGGCTGGGTGCCTGGTTCTGTTTGAGCTTTGGTTTGTGGGTCTGATTGCCCGTGGGTCTGATGAAAATGGGGGCAGAAGGGAACCCTCCTTTCATGTTGGGTCACTGGTGATCTCTGTGTGGAGGTTGTTCAGTTGGAGCAGATACTGACCATTGAGAGCGTCCTATCAAATAGGTATCAAATAATCCTTTTCTAAGCCTTGAGTATTTAAAAGGCTATGAAGCTTTAAAAGATAGAATTTTACCCATCACTTAATACTTTTACCAGACTATCACATTTGTTTTTGCCTGCATTCCCCCTTTTTTTCTAGGACAAAATTGAAAGTGCAGGTGTCTCCGATCTGGTCTCCATGTGGAGTGGGCTTGGGGATCTGGCCCAATAACGTGGGCTATTTTAAGGGAACGCTGCCATTCAGGGCATCATTGTCTTTCACCTGGAAAAGTGCAGTGGTTTTCTAATTAATTCCTGCTGCATCAAGTTTTGCCCATATCCCTTCTGCTTTCCAAACTGTAGCTAGAATGATCTTTCGTTGTCAGAGTGTGTATACTAGTGCTACTCCCTCCTCTGCATCCGAGGGCCCTTAGGATGTAAATCCAAAGTTCTTGTTGTGGCATGCCCTGTCCCATGTGACCTGCCCTCTGATTCATCCTCCTGTGGCCTCACCTTCCCCACCTCCTAACCCCCACACTCTGTTCTCTGATTATGCTGAATTTTCAGTTCCTTCACCACAGCACTGTGTCATAGAAATACTTATAATGGAAGTCACAGAGATAACTTAAGAGTTTCATTTTCATTTGTATTTTTTTTGACAACTTACAATTTCTAATAAACACATTAGGGCATTTAGCCTAGTGGTTAAGATGTCCATAGTGCTGGTGTTCAGGTCCTGGATCTACTCCCAGTTCTAGCTTCCTGCTAATGTGAATCCTGGGAGGCAGCAGGAATGGCTAAAGTAGTTGGGTCCCTGCCACCCACACGGGAGACCTAGATTGAGTTCCTGGCTCCTAGCTTCAACCTGTACCAGCTCCAGCCATTGCAGGCATCTAATGAATGAGTGAACCGGTGGATGGGAGCTCTCTGTTTCTCTCCTTTCAAATAAACAAATAATTTTTTTAAAAAACCAGATAAGTTTAATTTTAATAATTAAGTTTAATTAATCATTATTATTAATACTTTAATACAGTATATCCCAAATTCTATTATTTTGCCATGAAATCTATACTAAAAGTTACTGAAATATTTTGCATTCTGTGTTTTGTACTAAGTCTAGTGAAATATTTTGCATTCCTTGTGTGTGTGTGTGTGTGTTTGTATGCTGTGTAAACTACTACACTTACAGTGCATTTTTAGTTCAGACTAGTTCTCCATAGCCTCATGTGGCTGGTAGCTTCCATATCGAACAGTTCAGCTCTGATACAGGGATACTTGGAAGAAGTTCATTGAAGATTGAAATTGAAAGATAAGGCTGGCGCCGCGGCTCAATAGGCTAATCCTCTGCCTTGCGGCGCCGGCACACCGGGTTCTAGTCCCAGTTGGGGCGCTGGATTCTGTCCTGGTTGCCCCTCTTCCAGGCCAGCTCTCTGCTGTGGCCAGGGAGTGCAGTGGAGGATGGCCCAAGTGCTTGGGCCCTGCACCCCATGGGAGACTAGGATAAGTACCTGGCACCTGCCATTGGATCAGCACGGTGCTCCACAACACCCACCCCCAAAAAATATATTCTAAAAAATGTCCATGAGAGTGGGCGTTTGGCTTAGCAGTTAAACTGCTGGCTATAGGATGTATGAATCTTTTATCAAGTGCTTAGTTTGATATGCAACTCCAGCTTCCTGCTAATGTGTACCCTGGGAGACAGTGGTGACGGCTTTAGCAGCTGGGTTCCTAGGCATTTGAAGAGGGATCCAGAAGATGGGAGCTCTCTTATCTTTCTGACTCTGTCTCCCAAATAAATATTTTTTAAAAGTCAATGAAAAATGCATATTAAGAAAATTCATGCATTTCAAATGTTTTGCACTAAAAACCCCCTTATCTTTTAATTCTTTTCTTTTCTTTGTTTTTTTTTTTTTTTTTTTGCTGGACAGGCAAAGTGGACAGTGAGAGAGAGAGAGACAGAGAGAAAGGTCTTCCTTTTGCCATTGGTTCACCCTCCAATGGCCGCCATGGCCAGCGCGCTACGGCCGGTGCATTACGCTGATCCAAAGGCAGGAGCCAGGTGCTTCTCCTGGTCTCCCATGCAGGTGCAGGGCCCAAGGACTTGGGCCATCCTCCACTGTACTCCTGGGCCATAACAGAGAGCTGGCCTGGAAGAGGGGCAACCGGGACAGAATCTGGCATGCCGACGGGGACTAGAACCCGGTGTGCCAGCGCCGCAAGGCGGAGGATTAGCCTATTGAGCCATGGCGCCAGCCTAAAGATTTATTTATTCTATTTGAAAGGCAAAGTTATAGAGAGGCTGAGAGAGAGAGAGAAAGAGAGAGAGTCTTCTATCTGCTGGTTCACTCCCCAGATGGCTGCAACAGCTGGAGCTACACCGATCCAAAGCCAGGAGCAAGGAGCTTCTTCTGGGTCTCACCTGCTGGTGCAGGGGCCCAAGGACTTGGGCCATCTTCCATTGCTTTCCCAGACCATTGCAGAGAGCTGGATGGGAAGTGGAGCAGCCGGGACTTGAACCAGTGCCCATATGGGATGCTGGCACTGCAGGCAATGGCTTTACCTCTTATGCCATAGCACCGGCCCAAGAATATATATATATATATATATATATATATATATATATATATATATATTTGACAGGCAGAGTCACAGTGAGAGAAAGAGAGACAGAGAGAAAGGTCTTCCTTTGCCATTGGTTCACCCTCCAATGGCTGCCATGGCTGGTGCGCTGCGGCTGGCGCATTGCACTGATCCGAAGGCAGGAGCCAGGTGCTTCTCCTGGTCTCCCATGTGGGTGCAGGTCCCAAGCACTTGGGCCATCCTCCACTGCCTTCCCGGGCCACAGCAGAGAGCTGGCCTGGAAGAGGGGCAATCGGGACAGAATCCGGCGCCCCGACTGGGACTAGAACCCGGTGTGCCGGCGCCACTAGGTGGAGGATTAGCCTATTGAGCCGCGGCGCCGGCCGAGAATATATATTTTTAAAATTTCCTTTTTTATTTGCAAGAAAGACATGGAGAGAGAGCTTCCATCAACTGGTTCACTCTCCAAATGCCTGCAGCTAGGGTTAGGCCAGGCCATAGGCAGAAGCCTGGAACTTCACCCATGTCTCCCACATGGATGGTAGAATAGCAAAACTTGAGTCATCATTTGCTGCCTTCCAGGATGTACATTAACAAGAAACTGGATTGGAAAGAGAGGAAGCAGGACTCGAGTTAGGCACTCTGATACAGGATGAGGGTGTCCTGAGCAGTGACTTCACTGCTGTGCCACATGCCACCCATGAACTTTTTGGATCATGCTGTTTCTCTAGACCTTCATACCTATTTTTCCTTCTCTCTTACCTAACAAAACGCCCTTTCTACAAAAGATGCCTCCACTCTGAATTCCCAAAGAATCCTGTGCCTCTCATAGCAAAACGTCACCATAACTTTATGGTAATTACTTTCAAGTCTTTTACCTCCCTTGTTGAACACAGCTTTGTAAGGACAGAGACCTAGCCTACCCTGCTTACCCGTAGCACGAGCCCTGTATATGAGATGCAGAAGAATTCTGCCTCTGGCTCTCTCTCAGGACCTCCTGGTCTGTTCTGCCCTTCAGATATCGTGGACGGAAACCTGAAGTCCATCATGAGGCTGGTCCTCGCTCTGGCAGCTCATTTCAAACCTGGCGCTAGCAGGACGGTGAGCCAAGGGAGGGATTCCAGAGCCCCTCTGCAGAGTCACCAACCACACTGTGCCACTGCCGTGGCCCAGGGAGCAGCTGCTGCTCTGGCCGACGTGTGTCATGACATGTCCCGGTCGGGACGGGACGTCTTTCGATACAGACAGAGGTAAGGGTGGAAATCCGGGCACGGGCACTGAGCGCTGTCCTCTGATACTGCTTCTGTTACATGGTGCAGTGCAGGAGAGGGAACTTTCAGCCAGACAGCCCCACGTCACAGGAAAGAACGTGGAGTGGAGGCTGGGGAAGGCACTCCAAAAGACGGCCTTTTCCTCGGAATTGTTCCTTTTGCGGTTAGCAGAAAGCAAAGGAATCATGTGTAACTTTTTGCTTTGGTGCCACACTTTGAATAGAAGCCTTTGCCACAGTGTGCCTTCTTCCCATGTGGAAGCAATGTTCCGGTTCATCTGGGGGAGGCTCTACCCTGGAAAGTATCCAAAGGGCCGAAGTGCCCTAGGAAATGATTTGGAGGTTGTGTATCTGCTAAGGGAGCGCATGACCTTGAGCTGTTACAAAGATTGGTGAAATTCCTTGTGTTGTGTCTACCTTCCCCACTGCATTTCAAGTGTCTGATGGCAGAGGTTCGGTGTACTCACCTTCTTGGTCAGAGTGGCAGTCAGTTCTGCTTGAGGGGGCCTGCACTGAAGGGCTGATCCCCCACTGTCCTGTGCCTGTGCTCTGTGACTTTAGGAACAGCAGCATGGATGAGGAGATTGAGAACCCATACTGGAGCGTGCGGGCGCTGGTACAGCAGTATGAAGGGCAGCAGAGGTCCCCGTCTGAGTCCAGCTGCTCCAGGTATGGTGGCCTCTTATTCTTTACTACTGCAGTTCTGGCAGAGAGCTAATTCTTGGGCATTCTCACTCAGGGTTCTTGGCTCCAAGAAGCAATACAGCAAGCAGCAAGGCACCAAACCCCTGTCTCTTTCCTCAGTTTGGTTTTAAAGGGATAGTTTTTAGCATGAACTGCCTTGTGATTTCTTGCTAGCAGGAACGTAGGGTAGGGGTGCTGGTGAATTTCCCAAATACACACTCTGTGCAGTCTCAGTGCCCATGCTTAGCTGTGACCACATGGGGGTGTGTTTGGACCAGGCCCAATGGTTGAGATATTTGCATATTGATTGCAGTGTCTATGATAGCCAGTTCCATTGCACTTTGAGTCTGAGTACACTCTAAGTTATGACTTCAGAAGGCTGAATAAAACTCCTTGCAAGAGAGGAAACTGGACAGCATTATCTGAGAACATTAGAGTGTTTCCAACTTTGATTTATAAGGCTGGGACCCGTGGCAGATTAGTAGGCATTTGAGTGGGTGAATGTTGTTTGTGACTCCAGCTGAAAGGCTGTCCATATCTCATCGAGCCGAGTGCAGAAACCAAAGCAGGACATTGCTCTAATAAAAACCTGGCCAGTGCTAAGCATGGTGGTAGAAAAAGATTAGTTTTCTGGCTCTGTAAATCATATTCCCATAAACACATCCCCAAATCACATTAGCTTATTCATTAAGTTCATTTCATTGCTGAATCACATTTATGCTCTAATGACCTTTCCTCTCTTACCTCAGCCCAGAGTAGTCTGTTCTATTTAAGTCTAATTGTTCTTTATATATTTTGTATCTTTGTTTTCTTCTTCCTATTTCTTTTCCACATAAAATTCCATCCTATTTTGATGGAACGTTTCCTACTTTACCAAGGCCATATAGATTGCTTTCCAGCATTTTAGTATTCTGGTAGCCTTGTTTAACATAATTCTTGTATTTAATAGGTGTGCTTTTTATTTTTAAAATTCACATAACATAAAATTAACCATTAAACATTTTTAAAAAGATTTATTTATTTATTTGAAAGACAGAGTTACAGAGCAAGAAGGAGAGACAGAGAGAGATCTTCCATCCACTGTTCACTCCCCAAATGGCTGTAAGGGCCAGGGCTGGTCAAGGCCAGAGCCAGGAGCTTCTTCTGTGTCTCCATATGGGTGTAGGTGCCCAAGTCCCTGGGCCATCTTCTACTGCTTTCCCAGGAGCATTAGCAGGGAGCTGGCTTGGAAGGGGAGCACCCTGGGCCCTTTATGGGATGCCTACATTGTATGCAGCTTAACCCACTATGCCACAATACCAGCCCTGTATTAAACTTTTTTTAAATTAGATTTTTTTTTAAGATTTATTTTATTTATCTGAAAGAGTTACAGGTAGAGAGAGAGAGAGAGAGAGAGAGAGATGTCTTCCATCCACTGGTTCACTCCCCAGTGGCTGGAGCTGAGCTGATCTGGAGCCAGGAGCTTCTTCTGGGTCTCCCATGCAGGTGCAGGGGCTAAAAGACTTAGGCCATCCTCCGTTGCTTTCCCAGGCACATTAGTAGGGAGCTGGATTGGAAGTGGAGCACGTGCCCATATTCCCAGAATGTTGGCACTGAAGGCCAGGGTTTTAACTGGGTACACCACAGCATTGGCCCCCTTGTATTAACCATTTTAAAGTATCCAGTTCCGTGGTCATCCATCATAATGTTATGCAAGCATCACCTCTATCCAGTTGGGAAATACCTTTGTTACTCCAGAAGGAAACATGTCCCTGTTACACAATAGGTGTGCTGTTCAGGAGAGAATCTGAACCATTGCTTCCTTGCTTGCTGCTTAGACTATCACTTGGTACAGAATCAGAGTGGCTCATTGTGTATCTCTCTCTGAGCCTGCTAGTGCCTGGTGAGTTAGAGAAAGGAAAATAAGACAGTTTGGGCTTCCTTCTGAGAGCACCTGCTCTCTTCCTCCAGGCACTGTGGGGGCGGGGGGTGCTGTGTGACTGTCAGTGAGGGGTCTGCTGGAAACCAGGCTGCTGTGGGCTACCGGTGACAGTGTTCTAGGTGAGGGGTCGCAGGAGACTAGTTTGCATCCCCTTTCCTGTTTTTGCCATTTTCCTTTCTTGCTGGCTCCTGACTCAGCTCTCGGGGATGCGCTGGCTTTCCCTCAGTGAGGCCCTGGAAAAGAAGGAGGCTTCTCGTGGTCACTGGCAGCGCTGCAGGCTCCCGCGTGTACGCACCCTAACCCCCAGTCCACCTGGTGGGCTATGTGACCCCTGAAGGAGCTGGGAGACCTGGGAGGTGGCTGGCTCAGGATGGGGGAGTGGCCCAGAAGATAGGAAAGATGGCCCGTGGTGTGTCATCCCCTCTCCCTGCTGCTCCAGAGACGCCCTGGCGAAGCCCTGCACGCCTGTTGCTCGGTAGACCTCGGGCCAGCCTGTCGCTGATAGCCAGGCGAAATGATCCTTAGTTGGGGGTGGGGGGGGACACAAAAAACCACAACAGCAGATGAAACGCCGGAGGGGAAGGTGGGAGGAGATGGCGCTCGGCGGGTTTCCCGGGGAGGGCTGGGTCTCCACCCTGCCTGCCTGCCCTCCCGCGGGGGTAGCCGGGCGAGCTCCACTCGGAGCAGACCTGTCGCGACTCCGCGGCCGCGAGGGAGGGGCGGCGTTAAAAGCAACGTTTCAGTGCCAGCGTCTCAGCACCGGGACCCCAAAGCCCTCCAGTGATTCCGCCGGCCCGCGGCCCCTCCCCTGCCTGTCCTGGGGCTCGTGGTTACCGCCCCCGCCCGGAGCCGGCCCTGTCCCCGGCCCGCACCCCGACCTCTGCCCAGAGCGGGCGGCCGCGGAGCGCCAGCTTGGGTCCGAGCCCAGCGCTGCCTCGCCGCGTGTGACAGCCTTGAGAGGGTGGGGAGGGGAGGGCGAGAAGGGAGGGACTGGAGAGGCGGTGCAGAGCGGGATCGCCTGCACGCTCGCCGCCGGGGGTCCCGACGCGCAGCCCGAGCCTCCGGGAGCCTCTCTCCCGGTGGGAGATGGGTTGAGATGCCTGCGCCCGGGGGGATGCCCGGTGCCGCGCGGCCGCGGAAAGCGAGATGCAGCTGCCAGGGACCGGCCGCCTGCGAGGGGAGGCGGCTTCCGCCGAGGCCGGGCTGCGGCAGAGTCTGAGCTGCCGGGACAGCGCGCTTCTCACCCGGGAGCATCCCAGTCTCTGGGGTGAGACGCCTGCCGCTGCCCTGCCTACTTTCTACGGCCATCGGGGCGAGCAGCCCTGCTAGTTGGCCTGCCTGTGGAGTCGTTCTTCCCGTCCCCACCGCGGGGAGACATGCCCGAATTGGGGAACGGTGTGACTCCCCGCCTCCCGCTTCACCCAAGGAAACAGGCTTGCTGAAGCCGGAGCCAGGAGGGGGACCATGGGAGGGACGCAAGTCAAATGGTGAGCAGAAGCCACTTTGGCTTTGGAGGTGGGGGGCATGGGTGGGAGCAGGGCCAGGACTGGGGGATGCTGTTGGCCAGAGTCCGGTGGTGATGGGTGGGGCGCTTTATTGGGGAGCACAGGCTGCTGGCTTGGGGTTGTCCCTATAAAATAAGGTGGGTTTAGGAAGCCGCAGCCAGCCTGGGGGAAGAAGTGTCCCTTTACTCTTGGGTGTCTCTGGTGAGGGTGGGCCCTACAGGAGGAGACAGGACTCTTATTGCCTGTTACCAATTTAAAAAACTGATTAGCGTCCAATTTGGAAGTGTCTCTGCTGGGGAATTGCTTGCCTCCTAAGTTAAGATTGGAGAGATGTCAAATGTCTGTGAATTAAGAAGGGTATCAGTCATTCTCTGACCTCCGAAAGGATTATGATGGCAAGTGGGGGCGCTATTTGTTTATAAACTAGGACTTTTATTTAAGTGAATCAGAGAGGAGCTTAAGTCATCTAATTAATTGGCATTAAAATACTTCTCTGTGACTCGAGGTAGAGGATTTAATGTGCCTTCCTCATCTGTAAGGTGCTTAGGAAGACAACAGGATGCCTACCTTGACCTGTGCTTCAAGATTTTCCTCCCTCCAGTCCTTAATCTTTTGGCTTGGCCACCTAGTTTCAGGGTCTTACCTCTCTGTGGTCTCACCCTGGCAGCCTCTATTCGAGGAAAAGAAATGTTGTTTTCCTTCGGCTGCTCTGCCACTCCCCTAACGGGGTTGGGTAGCCAGACAGCCGCCTCCTTCTGCCCTTATATGGGAGACAACCCTTAGGAGGGAGAAGGTGGGACTGAGCATGCGTCTGTGCTTTTAGGAAAGCAGTTTCCAGCATCCTGGGTTCGCACTGTGCACCCCCTTTGTCTCACACATACCCACTGTGGTCCAGCCAAATGCAGGCAGTGGAGCATGTCAACCATAGCACCTTGTCAGCTGAGAAAGTGTTGTTTTCTTATTTCTCAGAGAGCAAGCTGTTGCAGGCTTCTTTCTGCTCTTGGATTACCCAGAAGGTAAATGCTGAGGCCTGAGCAGTCATAAATCTACTCTCCTTATAAAAGCCCTTAGATGGGGGCTTTCCAGCAGCTAATTGGTGTTGGTTCGGATGTCAGATTGCTTAGGTGGTGAAGGATAGCTAAGAGAGTTCTGGGAAGTGCTGAGAGAGTTCTAGAGAGCAGTCACGATTCCTGAATACCGCTCGCTCCTCCTCACCCCTCTTGCCTGTTTGGGTGGTCGTTCTGTAGATGTGGTTTTCAGCAACTGTCTTTAGTTTGAAGTAGTTCCACACTTTCAAATGTTCTCTGTGGTTCTGAGCAGGAAGAGACTATATCCCTGACTGGGGTCATTCCCACCAAGGCTCTTAAACCCTGGATGAGATGTTAGCCCTCAGGCTCTTCACAGCTCTTGAAATCTCTGGCTACCCCCAGTTGTGCTCGTGGTTTTATGCTGGTTTCCAGGAAGATGCAATGTTAACTCCTGATCGTGGTTGTGAGGATTAGCCTGGGAGACTTCAGGGGCACATTAAGTGGGTCAGTGAACCCTAGACACTTTCACTGTTGTCTGGGTGATAGATTTGGAAAGAATTCCTGAGAGGGGGCTGGGCTTGCAGACCCCTAAGCCCCTGAGATTGTTTCAGTGCTGATGTTCTCGAGGTGCAGCTCCGAGAGAAATGGCCCCGCTGCCTCCTTTATCTCCAGGGCCTGGAAGCATCAGCCTCACATTCCCTTCTCCTAGATTTGCTGTTCTGGGGATTTAGCGTTCCACTGCCCCTGAGGATCGGAAGAGTTTGTTCCAAGGCTAGTAGTTATATTGGGACTTAAGAAGTACTGAGAGGTTTCTGATGACAGTTTGAAAATACAGCAGAAGTATAAGTAACTCTTTGATTGGAGTATATCCAGTAAGCTTTTATTCCCCTTGCCCCCAGCAGGTTTTCCGCTTTGACACATTACCCTTCCGATCTTATTGTAGCTGAATCGTTGATATATCCCTGTACCTCTGACCAGTCTGGCAGCATATATACTCTGGCAATTTCTACCCCTGGACCTCCCACAAGCTACCCTCAAGCCTGTCCCTCGATTTGGGATGAACTCAGAGCTAATCTGCTATGATCTCTGGCTGATATTGTTTGTGTGATATATGTATATTGGAAATAGAATTTCCTTTCAGTTCCGAAAACTACTAAGACACACACTGGCAGCAGACTCTGACAGAGCCAGGAGATGGTATTGGTGGTAGTGGTGGGAGGTAAATAAAACAAAATGAAACCTACAGTTCTTGAAATGCTGGATTACTCATCCTTCTGATAATTCGCTTCTCCATCAATTAGGTGTAAATGCAGCCTTGTAAAACAGACTTCCTGGACCGGGCTATTCATTCATTCAACGAGTTCATCATTCAACAGATAGTTGTTCTTACTATGGGCTAGGTACTGTGTCGGGCATTAGGAGTAAGATGAACAAGAGCATGTCCCTGGGATAAATTATGGAAGTTGCCTTCTACACAGTTGTTGGTAATAATTACTTCTCTTCCTTTTTCTTTGATCACAGCCTGACTTCACCCAGTCCCATCCACAGTGCAAAGAGTGAATCCGTTATAACCCAGTCGGAGAAGGCAGATTTTGTGATTATTCCCCCTGAAGGAATAGAGAACAGAACAGGTACTGTCTCTCTGGCTCAAGAAACAGCTCTCAGGTTGAAGAGTATGGAGGAGCCTTTAAGCTCCTTGGCCTTCTCTCTTTCCATGGTCTCTATCTGCAGGCTTGGCTCAAGGGCTCTAACACTTCTGAGTCAATTAATGTGGTTCTCCTCTTGCAGAATGTCATTTCTTATGTCCTAGCTATCAGAAAACTTGTGGTAGCATAGATGGGCCTTTCCTTAGCTGGCTGCAAATGAATTAAGAAGTAATTTTGGGGCAGTTAAGAAGTCTTACTCAACAATTTTTTATATTTATTTATTTATTTGAAAAGCAGAGTTACTGAGAAAGAGGGAGAAAGAGAGAGACAGAGAGAGAGATTATGCATCCACTGGTTCACTCCCCAAATGGCTGCAACAGCTGGGGCTGAGCTAGGCTTGAAGCCCAGGAGCCTGGAACTTCATCCAGGTCTCCCATGTCAGTGCAGGGGCCAGAGTACTTGGGCCGTCTTCCGCTGCTTTCCCAGGTGCATTAGCAGGGAGCTGGATTGGAAGTGGAGCAACTGGAACTTCAGCCTGTGTTCGTATGGGATGTTGGTGTTACCTGTGGTGACTTAACCCACTGCACCACAACACCAGCCCCTCAACTAAACAATTTTTATTACTCCTATTATATACAAATAATGTCAATACTTTTCTCACTTAGATTTGAAATATACAGTATGAAATGTAATATTTATGAGAACATACAGAGAGCAGGTCCACATCTGGCTTGGTTGAGGGTTGTAGAAAGAACCACAAAGAGCTTCCATTGTTTGGACTTATTCCTCTGTCTCAATTGCTTTCCCTTTTATTACCTAAACATAGAAAGAAGCATGGAAGATGCAAAGCATGAGATTGAGATAGAATTTTATTCAGTCATAGGGAAGTAATGCAAGTAACACCCTCCAAAGGAAAACTGGAATTAAATCCTTCCGTACTGTGCTCCCCCGAAAGCCCTGGCATTAGTCCCAAAGAGTCTGGAACTCCTGGAGTCTGGGGAGGGAGAGGGAACATGTGTTCTCAGCCAGGCGCCACTGGGCCCATGTATTTTACCTCATAAAGTAGAGGAGGAAACTAGAGTTAAGAGACCTTCAAGACGGGAAAATGAGACAAAACCAGGGAGAGAGATTTAGCACTCTGTGTAAGTATACTTTTACTAGCTTGTTTCCTGTGTGACTCACCCGGTGCTATATTTGAAAGAGGTTCAGTTATGACTGAATAGTCAAAGAAATATTGAATCAAGGTCTCCCCTCTAAAGCTCTAGAGTAACCAAGAGGAATTTTGTTTTCATTGCATTTGACAGCTCATCTCCTGGCAAAATCAGCTTCTGGAAATCCTGTTTTAGGGAATTAGGAGTAAAATCTATGTGTTCCATACCAAGACTCTATCAGCAAGTCTTACTGCTTCTTAAGGATTTTAAAGAGGCTAAATTTCCCCCCACAAAGTACTGTGTCTGGGAGGCTGGAGCCAGTTCTTTATGCATCACAACCCCACCTGGTGGAAAGTCCAGGTTGTGCTGTGAGGACAGGTTCAGAAGGCAGTTGTCCCCAACCTGTGAACGCTTTCTGCCGGAAATAGTTTTCTTCAACATGAACTGTGCTGCTTGCTCCTTTCATTTTGTAGAAGAAAGAGATTCTCCATTATCCCGAGACTGGAGGCCAGGGAGCCCTGGAACCTATCTGGAGACCTCATGGGAAGAACAGCTGTTGGAACAACAAGAACATTTAGAAAAGGAAATGGAAGAAGCAAAGAAAATGATATCAGGACTACAGGTAGCTCTTACCCTCATAGTTTGTCCTGGGTGCACCTCTTGATTGTTATCAACTGAAAGTGAACTGATTTTAGTTTTATGTGAGGTTAGAGAAGAAAGGAAAGTTCAGATGGAGGAAGTAGGACCCAAAAAGCGAAATTCCTTGTGTGAGCACTTTAAATGGACTTGTAGATTGTTGTTTGTAGCACAGCTGTTAGGATTTTCCCAAGCCCAGGAGTCACTACTGATCCCTCCCACACCCTGGTTCTGACTCCGCTTTACAGGGGGGTTTGTCTCCTTTACGCGGTTACAGACCTGCAGTTGCAGCTGTCGCAAAGAATTGCACTGTAAATAGTTAGAATTTTCTCCTAGGAATTCTCCAGCGGAAGAGTGTAAGAGCCAGAAGCGCTGCCAGGTTTCCATTTTCCATTAGTCGAGCTAAAGGATTTCATCACTCCTGTTGCATTTGCAAGTGGATGCCAGGGCTTAGTGATCAGGTAGAAGAGGTTTTCCTTGAGCAAAAAAGCCTTTCAGTTTTCCCTGTACCTGCAGTGTCAGCTCAGCAAATGTCCCTCAGAGACTGACTGACCCACTTGACATAGCTCCCACCTGAATGGTCTCCTCTGTCCTCTCTCTGCGTATCTGTCTGTGTTTGGGGGAGGCCTTGTAGTGTGCTGATGACCCTGAAATTGCCTAGGAATATTCCTTTCTGTTTGTGCTGGGAACCGTACTGCTACTGAATTGTGAAATATTTATGGATAGGTAAACAAAGCCCACATTATGTGTGTGGCTCTGACAGCCGGCAGGCGGTGGAGGGTGTGCTCCCAAGCCAGCCAGCAACAGGGTGGGGACACAAAGGGTTCCTGGAGAGAAAAGGAGATTGGTGCTGCAGTAGAACAATTTGCATAATGTATACCCCAGGAACTGGGAAGGGCTGGGGCAGTGTTGATTGCCGAAATAATCCCAAAGAAAGTTGTTGGTTTTTCCCCATTTATTCTGTATTTTAAGAATGGCTGGCTTTCAGATCCCTTTTCTGCCATTTCTTTAAAGAGTACCTTAAGGGGATGTTTTTGTTGTTCTGTGTTTTAATAGAAGGTATTCCTGTAGAACATTGGGATTATACCCAGCCCAGGTTTTTCCACAATAATTTGCATTATGGAAACATAGTTATCCATCAATTTGGCTCTCAATTTGGTTTACATTTCTTATTCTGGAAGAAATTCGATGGCAGATTAGATAGAAAAAGAAGAGAATTGACAGGCAGAAAGTCAGCATCTTAATATTCACTGCCAACAGAGGAGTTTTAATTCACAGCCACATGATCACAATGAGAATTCAGTTCCATTGTAGAATACAAAAGGGCTCACAGCATCCACTGGGCTTCTTAACTCTTTCAGTGATGAACAAGTTGCATGTTAAGCCACAGCTAGGATTTCTGACTTATTAGTGTGCCTTAGTTAGAGGCTGTTGAGCGGTTTGACATTCGAGTAGATGTTTCTCTAATGTTCCTCTCCCTTAGCTCCCTACAGCCCACTGGCTTCTTACCCATGACTATGCCTTCCACCATGACTCCAGGGGCTAACCAAATTCACTTGCTTTTTTAAAATTTTCTTATTGCTGTTTGGTAGGTAAGCCATTGTCTGAATTTTAAAAGTTCATTTTGATGAAATTATGTTATATTTATTGAAATAGGACTTACCCTGGACAACTCTTTGAGGCACAATTGTGATATCAAATAGAGACTATTTCTCATTCTTTCACAGAGCTAACAAAGTCTTCTGATACCTACCTACCCACAGGGGAAGACCCAAAGGATTTTTGTTTATTTATTTTCATGTACTTGAAAGTGGAGTGACAGAAACAGAGAAAGATACAGAGAGATAGTACCAGTGCTGTGGTGCAGTGGGTTAAGCTGCTGCCTTTGAAACTGGCATCCCATATTGGAGTGCCATTTTGAGTACTAGCTTCTTTACTTCTGATCTAGCTCCCTGCTAATGTGCCTAGGAAAGTAACAGATGATGGTCCAAGTACTTGGGCCCCTGCCATCCATGTGGGAGGCCTGGGTAGAGTAATAGGCTCCTGGCTTCAGCCTGGCCCAGTCCCATCTGTTGTGGCCATTTGGGGGAGTGAACCAGAGTATGGAAGATTCTCTCTCTTTCTCTCTCTCTCTTCACCTTTCAAATAAATAAATCTTATAGAAAAGGGAGAGGTTTTTCCATACTCTGGTTCATTCTCTAAATGCCCACAACAGCCAGGGCTGGGCCATCCAAAGCCAGGGGCTCAATTTGGATCTCCTATCTGTGTGACAGGGGCCCAAGTACCACAGCCATCACCTGCTGCCTGTCAAGGTTTGCATTATCAGGAAGCTGAATCAGAAGCAGAAGCAAGACCTGATCCCAGGTACTATGGTATGGGATGTGAGCATCTCTGGTGGTGGCTTAACCCAGTGTGCTACAACATCTACTCCAGATCTAAGTTTTGTGAACCTTGAAGTACTCGTATGTGATTTGGGAGGCCTTCTTTAAGAGTAAGATTACAAAAGTATGAGTATAATATTAGGTGTAAGGTCTTGAGAGGGGCAGTGCAGTAGGAGCCTGGACTTGAACTTCCTTGGCTTCAGGGTAAATCTGCCTCCCTGTTCTACACACTAATGGCCTAATAAAAACAGAGCTTGGTGTGAGGAGTTGAAATGAATGAGGACATCTTTGTGCAAATGTTTTCCTTCTTGTTCTATCCAAGTTGCCTTAGGGAGTAAAAATGAAGAATTATTAAAACAAAAATCAGACAAACCAAAGTCAGTCTTCTAAATGTATTCTAGATAATTCCCCACCATAGACTTTTCTAAGCCAGGATAATTCTGCACTGCTTTTAGATCACATTCCATCTGGTAAAATTTAATGCAAGCCACTCCAGTTTGAAATGTGTCTGTTATTTCTGAAGGGAAGGTTGGTTTGTTTTCCTCTGAGGCCAAGAAGTCTTAGAGCAGTGGATTCATGTGCATCCAGTGAGAGGAAAGAGGCCTAGAGTGTAGGCCTGGCACAAGGAGCCAGTTCCAAGGGGAACAACTAGAAGGATTTCAGGAGCAAAACTTACCAAGGAAATTTCTAAAGGAAGCCAGGTTGAGCTTTCAGTTCTGGTGAGCTTAGCAGGCCAACTCTGGCCTAAGTCATCTGCTGGGGAGTTAAGTTTCTTTCTGCCTTTGTGGTTATTCAGGCCTTACTACTCACTGGATCCTTACCTGAAGATGAACAGGAGAGGCCCTTGGCCCTCTGTGAACCAGGAGTCAACCCCGAGGAACAGCTGGTGAGAGCTCCATCTTCGGTGACTGGGCATTACTTCTGGTTATTGCATTTGATGTATTTTTAGCATTTGATCTGCTGACCCTGTCTTCTTCTTCTTCTTTTTAAAAGAATTATTTATTTATTTGAAAGGTGGAGTTACAGAGAGAGGCAGAGAGAGAGAGAGAGAGAAACAGAGAGACTTAGAGATATCTTCCACCCACTGGTTTACTCCCCAAATGGCCACAATGGGTAGAGCTGTGCAGATCTGAAGCCAGGAGTCAGGAAGTTCCTCCAGGTCTCCCACGTGGGTGCAGGGGCCCAAGCACTTGGGCCATCTTCTACTGCTTTCCCAGGCCATAGCAGAGAGCTGGATTGGAAGTGCAGCAGCTGAGTCTCAAACTGGTACCCACTGGAATGCCGGCACTGCAGGCGGTGTCTTTACTGGCTATGCCACAGCGCTGGCCCCTGACCCTGCCTTCATGAAATGTACTTTTCCTTGACTCCCATGCTTTGCTTTCCTCCTGCACTTTTTTAAAATTTTTATTTTTTTAAAAAAGATTTATTTATTGAAAGACAGAGTCACAGAGAGGCAGAGAGAGAGAGAGAAGTCTTTCATCCCCTTGTTCACACCCCAAATGGCTACAACAGGCAGAGTGGGGCCAATCCGAAGCCAGGAATTAGGAGCTTCTTCCAGGTCTCTCATGTGGGTGCAGGGGCCCAAGGACTTAGACCACCTTCTGCTGCTTTCCCAGGTGCATTAGCAGAGAGATGGATCAGAAGTGGAGCAGGGGGAACTTGAACTGGCGTCCATATGGGATGCTGCGCGGCAGGCAGCCTGTGGTGGCTTTACTGGCTAAGCCACAATGCCTCCCCCACCTCCTACACTTTTGACTGCTCTTTCTTTCATCATTCATTCAGTCACCAAATATTTGTTGAGTGCCAACTATGGGCAGCCTGTTTGAAAGTGCTGGAGATATGGTAGTGAGAAATCAGACCTATCCTTGTAGAGTTTCATTCAGGTCTCCTTTGAAGCTTCTCTTTGTGCCAATGGTTTCACTGTTGGCGCCCCTGGGTGTTCTGCTCTGGGCTCTCACATGTTTTACATGCTCACTGGGTCACTAGGGCAGTATTATTTGCCTCCATGGCATCACTCTCTTCCCACCTGCTTCTCATTTATGTATTTCCAGCTCAGTGCTCTCCAAGAAATTCAAGATTTCTTTATGCAACTTACATAATTTCCTACTGCTCATCTCCACTTGTATGTCCATAAACTCAATTTCAGTGAGTCCTCATTTTAAGGCTTTTTTATAGTCCATTAAACCACCAAAGCTACTTGTCCCTTTGGATATCTGTTTCAAATCTGTGTATCCAAATGCCCCAAACAGAAATCTGGTTACCATCCTTGAACCTTTTTTTTTTTTTTTTAAGACTTATTTATAAAGTAGAGTGACAGAGAAAGAGAGGTAGAGACTGAAATCTTCCATTCTCTAGTTCATTCTCTAAATGGCCTCAACAGCCAATGCTGGGCCAGGCCGAGGCCAGAAACTGGAACTCCATTCTGGTCTTCCACATGGGTGTCAGGGTTCCCAGTACTTGGGCCATCTTCGGCTGCCTTCCCAGGTGCATTAGCAGGAAGCCAGATCAGAAGTGGAGCAGCCTGGACTCAAACTGGCACTCCAGTATGGGATGCTGGCTCTGCAAGCAGTGACTTAACCCACTGTGCCTCAATGCCAGCCCCTCCTTGAATCTTTTTTGATCCTTTGCTATATATCCAGTCAGTAAATTTTAACAATTTACACTTTTAATATCTTCATCTGATTTTTTCCAATCTCACAAGTCACTTTGTTAATTCAGGCCTTCATCTGGTATTCTAGGGCCTTCTAACTGAATTTTTCTTATTTCTTTCCTGTCTTCCTCTGATTCATTTTCTCTAATACAGCAAGAATAATTTACTTTTGTTATTCTAACAAAATACCTGGATCAGCTAAATTTGAATGAGAAAAGGTTATTTAATTCACAGTTTTGGAGACGCAGAGTCCAAGTGGCACAGCTGCAGGCTTTGGCTCTGGGGAGGGGCCCAAGACATGTGACAAGGCATGTTTACAGGAAAGGTGGCATGGCAAGCTAGGGAGCAGAGAGTGGTGACCTAAACTCAAGCCATTATAACCTTCCTATGGGAACTCAAAAGGCCACTTAAGAACTACCTTCTGAGGCACTCGCACAGTGACATAAGGACCTCCCACTAGGCCCTACCTCCTAAAGATTCCCCCCACCATGGGGACCAAGCCTTTAACGCGTGGGCCTCTGGGAGACATTCAGCATACAAACGATAGCATTACCTCATAGGCGGACTTAATTTTGTCACCTGTCTACATGAAACTTTTCATTGGTTCCCTATTGCCCTCACTTGCCCTTAGTGATCTGGCCCCTGCTTTCCTCTCCAACTTCATTTCTTGCCATTTTGTCTTCTTCATACCCCACCTCTGCATTTGACCACACACACATAAATTCTGAGCTTTATCCATATTGATCTACTCTGGGCACATGCTTCCATCAGAGGGCAGGATTTGTTTGCTGTTACTCTATGTGTCTAGGAGGTGCTCAATAAATATTTGTTGACTGGATGGCCTCTGAGCTTCACAGCATATGAGCATAAACTTTTTTTGTCTTTATTCAGATCATAATCCAAAGTCGACTGGATCAGAGTATGGAGGAAAATCAGGACCTAAAGGTATGTTAGAACGTGTATATTTTTTGCTTTCAGAAAAATTATGGGAATGTTACAGACTATACTCAGGATAGTAACAGGGGCGAGAAAGGAATTGCCATGTTGGCTGTATCTGGCCTTATTATGTCCTTAACTTGAGAGAGAGAGATGCAGCCCAAATATGTCTTAGAGGTAACACCTTTCTAATTTTGGTGGTAATAGATATCTATATCATTGTTGACTATACCTTTTTATATGTTTGGAATATTTCCTATTATTAACTAAAATATTAATTAATATAAACTAAAAGAAGAAAAGTGGATCCAATGTAAGTGTGGTCTTTTTGATGACTACTTTCTGTTTTCCAGAATCCTTAAAGAGCAGTGCTTCTTCTTTTTATTTGAGTCACATGTATATGGCTTAATCCTTTCCCAATAAACATGCATAAACATACTCCCAGGCCTGAATTCTTTTTTTTTTTTTTACAGGTAGAGTGGACAGTGAGAGAGAGAGAGACAGAGAGAAAGGTTTTCCTTTGCCGTTGGTTCACCCTCCAATGGCCGCCGCGGCCGGCGCACCGCGCTGATCCGATGGCAGGAGCCAGGTGCTTCTCCTGGTCTCCCATGGGGTGCAGGGCCCAAGCACTTGGGCCATCCTCCACTGCACTCCCTGGCCACAGCAGAGAGCTGGCCTGGAAGGGGGGCAACCGGGACAGAATCCGGCGCCCCGACCAGGACTAGAACCCGGTGTGCCGACGCTGCTGAGCGGAGGAGGATTAGCCTGTTGAGCTGCGGCGCCAGCCCCCAGGCCTGAATTCTTAATAGAGTAACTCTTGAGCCTCTCTGTGGAAACATTAAGAATCCCGTTTTAGATATGTTAATACAATTGGAAAAGAGAATAGGGGCTGGGTTCTGGGTGTGCTTTTTCTAAAATCTGTTTCCTAGTAATAATAATATACCTGTATTTAATCTATTTTAAGGGAGGGTTAATGATGTGGCACTTAATTATTAGATCAAATGTGCTTTTATTTGGACTGCAGAGAATACCTCCTTAGAGAATCAGGAGTACTGCGACTCTTTGCTGAACATCAAGAAGTGGGATAGCTATGCAGTCACTGGAGCAGTCATATTTACTTATGCTCATATATTTGAGTGAAAGGGGTTTAGATTATTATGATTGGATTTTCCTGTTGGTGGGGACTGCTGACTGTGGTGAGCCTGGGTGTTCTCCCTTGGGGAGACTCTTCTCTGCCTGGCAGGGAGGCCAGGGTGCCACCGAGAACCGTGGGCTGGGTCCTGGTGTTGTTTCTACCAGCCAGCCTCTACTGGTTACCGAGTCACCCCTCAGTAGAGGGTTAATTTTTCATGGAATGGTCAACTGGGTTTTGTCTTCTGGCTGACAGCGTGAGGTAATGCGTCTGAAGCAACCCAGATGCCTCCATCTGATCTAACTATATTTGGTTTGCAGAAGGAGCTGCTGAAGTGCAAACAGGAAGCCAGAAACTTGCAGGGGATCAAGGTAAAAAGGAGACACCTAATTCTTTAACTAAAAGACTGCAAGGTATTTGTTGGTGAGGGGTGAGAGCTGAGCAGGATAGTTGGGATTTGCTAGGGGCCTTTAACTGGCCCTTTGCCACTGGTAAAGAAAGGATGTTGTGAGTGGAAGTAACACATGTTGACCCCTGTATGTTTGTTTTGCTGGGCTTATTTCTGGTAGTTATATATCAAGATGCTGCTACTTCCCTCTGTGGCCCTCGATTGTGTCTGTTTGTAAAATATCCTCTTCAGTTTGAAAGAGTATCCTTTTAAAAGAGATTGTAATTTATTTAATTTTTAAATAACATCCAAGTGGATAAATGTATAAAAGGGTAAACAGTGAATGAAGACTGCCTGCCAGCCCTGTCCCCCAGTCACCCGTTCTCTTTCCATGAGGCAGCTTATCAGTTATAAGCAAGTATGTACGCATATCATCTCCCACATTTTTTTTTGTTTTTTTTTATTTATTGACAGGCAGAGTGGACAGTGAGAGAGAGAGACAGAGAGAGAAAGGTCTTCCTTTGCCGTTGGTTCACCCTCCAATGGCCGCCGCTGCAGCCGGCGCACCGCGCTGATCCTGGCAGGAGCCAGGAGCCAGGTGCTTTTCCTGGTCTCCCATGGGGTGCAGGGCCCAAGCACCTGGGCCATCCTCCACTGCACTCCCTGGCCATAGCAGAGAGCTGGCCTGGAAGAGGGGCAACCGGGACAGAATCCGGCGCCCCAACCGGGACTAGAACCCGGTGTGCCGGCGCCGCAAGGTGGAGGATTAGCCTATTGAGCCACGGCGCCGGCTGATCTCCCACATTTTTTAAAAAAGATTTATTTATTTGAAAGGCAGAGATACAGAGAGGCAGAAGCAGAGAGAGAGGTCTTCCATCCACTGGTTCACTCCCCAGATGACTACAACGGCCGAAGCTGTGCCGATCTGAAGCCAGGAGCCAGGAGTTTCTTCCAGGTCACCCATGCAGATGCAGGGGCCCAAGCACTTGGGCCATCTTCTACTGCTTCTACTGCTTTCCTAGGCCATAGCAGAAAGCTGGGTCAGAAGGGGAGCAGCTGGGACTCAAACCGGCACCCATAGGGGATGCTGGCACTGCAAGCAGTGGCTTTACCTGCTATGCCACAGCGCCAGCCCCCTCCCCCACATTTTTTTTTTTTTTTTTTGACAGGCAGAGTGGACAGTGAGAGAGAGAGACAGAGAAAGGTCTCCCTTTCCCATTGGTTCACCCTCTAGTGGCCGCTGCGGCCAGTGCACTTCGCTGACCCGAAGCCAGGAGCCAGGTGCTTTTCCTGGTCTCCCATGCGGGTGCAGGGCCCAAGCACTCGGGCCATCCTCCACTGCACTCCCTGGCCACAGCAGAGAGCTGGCCTGGAAGAGGGGCAACCGGGACAGAATCCGGCGCCCTGAGTGGGACTAGAACCTGGTGTGCTGGCGCCGCAGGCGGAGGATTAGCCTATTGAGCCGTGGCGCTGGCCCCTCCCTCACATTTTTACCCACATTATAATATACTGTACAAACAGCCTGACAACTGGTTCTTCTTTTTTTTTTCCATTTAGCAATGTATCTTAGAGGTCATTCTATTTCAATATATGCTGACCTTCCCAGTGTTTCTATGGCTGTACAGTGTTTCAGTATGTATCTGTATGATCATTTATTTACTCAGTCTACTATTGATAGTATTTTGGTGATACAACAGTGAGCTAACTAATGAACTTGAATATATTTGATTTCCCTCAAGTAGGAGTACTCGTATATCTGCTGAATAAATACCTAGAAGTAGAAGAGATGTTCTTTTTTACTTTAACGATTTATTTATTTAAAGGCATAGTGACAGGGCTTGACATTGTGGTGTAGTGGTATAAGCCACCACCCATGATACTGGCATCCCATATGGACGCTGGTTCTAGTCTCAGCTGGTTCTAGACTCAGCTGCTCTGCTTCTGATCCAGCTCCCTGCTAACACTCCTGGGAAGCAGTGGAAGATGGCCCAAAGACTTGAGCCCCTATCACCCACATGGGAGACTTGGATGAAGCTCCTGGCTCCTGGCTTTGACCTGGCTCGGCCTTGGCCATTGCAGCCATTTGGGGAGTAAACCAGCAGATGGAAAATGTGTGTGTTTGTGTGTGTGTGTGTGTGTATGTGTGTCTCCCTCTATCTGTCACTTTGCCTTTCAAATAAATAAAATAAATCTTTAAAAAGCAGAGTGGTGGAATGCATGGGGAGTTAAGAGAGAGAATCCACTGGTCCACTCCCCAAAAGACCTCAACATCCAGGTCTGGCCAGTTTGAAGCCAGGAACTCCATCTGGGTCTCCCACACAAGTGGCAGGGGCCAAAGCACTTGGGCCATCTCCTGCTGCCTTCCCAGGCACATTACCAGGGAGCCGGATGGAAGCGAGGCAGCTAGAACTTAAACTGACACTCCCATGTGGGATGCTGTCCTTGCAAGCGGCAGTTCACCTGCTGTGCCACAGTGCCAGCCCCAAGGTTGCTTTTAATGTGCTGCTTTCCCTTAAAGTGTAACTGACTTGGACTAGCCTACAGTGTAACTATAGCACTTTCCAAAGTATATGCTGATCCTAAGAGCTTTGAAACTTTTCAAAAAGCAGATAAACTCTGTGGTCAAATAAATTTAAGAAATGCCCTACAGGCTTAAAGACTCAGTGAGTAACAGCATATTACTCACTGTTAAAGAAAGATTAAAGGAGATCTGTCATAAGGACGTTTGCCTAAAACGTTTAGAATTATTAACCACAGAGGCCTTTTCTCCCATGAAATTCATCAGCATCCCTTGGAGCACCCTTTGGGAACCACTTCTCCAGACCATAGATGCCAGGAACCTCTTATACTATATTTGCTTTATACTGTTACGCCAAACTGCACAATTAAGAATGGGCTTCAGGAGTGGGCATTGTGGCACAGTTAAACTTATGCTTGCAATGGCCATATCCTGTATTAGGGCACCAGCACGAGCAAGTCCCATCTCCTTTGCTTCCAGTCCAGCTCTCTGCCAGTACGCCCGAGGAACAGCAGGTGATGGCTCAAGTACTTGAGTTCCTGCCATCCTTGTGGGAGACCTGGTTGGAGTTCCTGACTCCTGGCTTATTGCGGCCATTTTGGGAGTGAACCAGAGGATAGCAGATATCTCTCTCTCTCTCTCATTTTCATTCTCTTTTTCTGTCACTTTGCCTTTCAAATAAACCAAACCAAAACAAAACCAAATGTGCTTCCACATTCTCCAGAGCTTGACCATTTCTTTGCAGTCTGTGAGGAGAAAATTGAGGACAGATGTGCTGGAATGAAGCCCTAGTCCACTGGTTCAATCTGAAGTCACCATGAGTGGAGGAATGTGTTTGGCTGACCCTTTGAGTAAATATATCTAGCCTATCTTCTCTTAGGCATGGCAGGAACTAAAAGGGTTCAACCTGTGGGAAAAATAGCCTAACACTGGTAAGATCCTAGGAGACTGGCAAGAGGAACCATCAGTCTAGTTCTGATCAGTAGAAATGTAATTGCAGCCCTGGTCTAAAATGAGCACTGGAAGCCAACTGAAGTAGAAAAACAGCAAAGTTCTAGAAAACAGCATGAGAGGGAATCCAGGGATTCCAGGCAGCAGGAATAGGGCCTATCCCTCTAGGAAAAGGGAACTGATAAAAGAAGTACAAGAAAAAAGACCTAACCTAGATTATTCATATACCCAAAATATAGATGAGGAAGCCAGGATAGGAGGAAGGAGAGTACACTGTCCAAGGTCAGTGTCACAAAAGTAGTAAGTGGTAGACTTGTAATTTGAATATAAGTTTATCTGATCCCAAAGACCACTCACTGCATCCCCCATGACACCTAGGACTCTCAGAATTGAAGCAAGGGTAGGAGTCAGTAGTAAGCAAAGGGGAAATCAGATTGCAGTCAGCCTGATAGGATGATGGGTGGGATTTTCCTTGAGATGCTAGTGTCTTTGAGGAGGAGAGAAAAACCCCTGCTCGGCTCCCTGTGAGAAGATCCTTATTGTCTTTTAGTCTCCCACTTGGAATCAATTCTGGTTACACAGTAAAGGAGTTAGTACCTTTCGGTAATAACTGGCTGATTAATTTAATTGAGACCACAGTAATTAGTGTGCTCTTTCCCCCCAGGATGCCTTGCAGCAGAGATTGGCTCAGCAGGATACGTCTGTTCTGCAGCTCAAACAAGAACTACTGAGGGCAAATATGGACAAAGATGAACTGCACAACCAGAATGTGAGTTCTGTGTGTGAACTCTGACCTTGTTGATACCCACGAACAGGATAGGGTACTGCATGAAGTGCTCTGGGGTCTCCCATCTTCGTCTCCCTTCTCTTGCCTCTGGGAGGCCTGCCCTCAGTGTCTGCATTTTATTCTCCATCAGACTCATCTCTTTTCTTAGGTAGAAGCCCATGTCAGGCGAGGTGGCAGGGTCTTTGAGTCCTTCTTCAACCTTGGTGACAGTGAGGCTAAACTGTGGCTCGAATAGTGATTACCTCACTAAAGACATAAATAGAAGCCATGTATCTTTCCATAATCATACCCTCTTCATGTTGTATACTGTGACTACCAGCATTAACTCTGATTACTGAGTAGCTGGTGCATTAGCTTTTTATCACTCAAGACAAGTTTTTTACGAAGAAAGGAGGTTTACTTTGGCTTACAGTTTTGCAGTTCACAGTCCCAGACTGGGTGGCCCCATTGGCTCAGCTATCTGGTGAGGCCAGAGGATGGCAGTGGCAGAATGAGTGCAGAGGAGGGGTCACATGGCAAGCCAGGGGCAGAGGGAGAGCCGCCAAGCCCGACTCAGACTGACGTAATCTGCTCTCTCATGAGAAGTACCTTCTGAGAGCCTGGCCCTCAATGAACTAAGGAACTCCCCCTGAGAGCTGCCTTCTAGACAGCATGGTTGGATCAAGTCTCCACCAGCCCATGACTTTGCGGCTTCAAAGTCTGCATGAGTTGGGGAGCCAAATCATGTTCAAATTGTAGCAGCTGGGTTCCTTAAGGATTGGTGGACAACACCTGCATGCCCGTGACTTGTTCCTCTACTCTTGCAGGTGGATCTACAGAGGAAGCTAGATGAGAGGAATCGGCTCTTGGGAGAATATCAGGTAAGAGTGCCTATTTGTTGGTTTGAAAATGACTTCCCTCTGACCCACCCATGATTGCTGTGGCTCAAAGAGTATTTAAGTATTCTGTTCCACCCTAGCTTTATGGAAGGAAATCTGTTTCTGTCCCCCTTGATTCACTGTCCCTGAAGGAAAGATACTGTAGTTAGGAGAAGGAGTAGGAGTCTGAAGCCTCGTTCTTGTCTTACCTTTATCTCTAATCAGCATGGATGGCGCAGAGTGGCCTTTAATGGGGATTCCCTTCCAAGAATCCTCAGCACTGTGTGAGACTGTTGCGGCATGTGAAGTCTTCCTGGTATAGCTTGAGGAGATGACTGTTCCTCCTAGGGCTCTACTTTACCGAGGCAGAAACTGCATTGCAAAGGGGGAACTGCTGAGTGTCCTTGGTTTTGCCACACATCTGAAAGCTTTGTCTCTGTTGCAGAAAGAGCTAGGGCAGAAGGATCGCCTCTTGCAGCAGCACCAGGCCAAGTTGGAAGAAGCACTCCGGAAACTCTCTGATGCCAATTACCAGCAGGTAAAAACATTTAGCCACTGACATTCCTTCCCCTTTGGTCAGAAGTCCTTTTCTAATTGGGTCTGTGTCTTGCAGGTGGATCTAGAACGGGAGCTAGAACACAAAGATGTCCTTTTGGCTCATTGTATGAAGAGAGAGGCAGATGAGGTAACCTAGAACCCTTATTAATGAGGCAAAGAGGTTGTTTCTGACTGAGAGCTGAACCAAGGCTGCAGGCCGCTTTGTTAGAAGACTCGTGAGAGGGTCAAGCGTTCCTGTAGGTTCCAGGATAAGAAAATCTATTTTTAAAACCCATCTTTACCAAACACTTCCAGATTTTGTGACCTTAACTTGCTTACTTTCTGAATCTTAGAAATAATACTCAAAAAGGAAAGGTAGATAATAGCAACCCTCTCTGTCATTATGAAGAATATGTAGGATAATCCACATGGATAACTAAATATAGTCCCATTAGGTCCATCTGAAACTGAGTCCAGCTCAAAAAGGTTGTTCTTATTTTTTGTTACCAAAGCAAAGGCAGGAGGTGCTGGGGCAGTGCTCTGAGGCCCTCCAGTGACTCTGACAGAACCTAGGTTGGAGGCCTCTGTAGACTGAGGTTCCCATTTCATTCACTCTGCATCCAGTGTGTGTACCAAGCACTAAGTGTAGCACCAAAATGGCACTGAGCAAAAGGGAAAGAAATGTGCACTTGTGAGACTTATATCTTAATAAGCAGTAAAAGCGTTAACTATATACAATGTCAGGGAGAGAGAGAAAAAAACTAAGCAGGACATCGTGGTTTGGAATTCTCTCTCTAACAAGCACCATTTCTTCTTGCTACTATAGGTGACCAACTACACTAGTCACAACTCTCAAAGCAACGGTTTTCTCTTTCCGACGGCAGGAAAAGGAGCTGCTTCGATCACCCACAGAGGGGTAGGTTCCCATGAGTTGAGTGTGGGCCTGCCACTTGTAGCTAAAGCCGGAAGACCCCAACCTTCAGCAGTGGACTAGGCTGTTTATATCAGTTACCTGATCCCTGCCTCTGTAGTGTACATAAAGATCTAAGGCAGTTATACAAAATTAGGAATTAGTGGGCAAACAGTAGGCCTGCTTTCGTGGAGTAACATTTCCTACAGATCACACCTCCACCAAAGTGAAAGGTCTGCTCTGGATTCCTCTCTCCTCTGTTTTCTTGAGCCCAGTGGTTGGGACACATACAATAATGTGGCAGTGGGCTAAGCCAACGGCACCTTGTCTCTGCCCACAGAGCACTGACCTGCAGCTTGTTCGCGATGCTCTCCGCAGCCTGCGCAATAGCTTCAGTGGCCACGATCCTCAGCACCACACCATCGACAGCTTGGAGCAGGGCATCTCGAGCCTCATGGAGCGCTTGCACGTCATGGAGACACAGAAGAAGCAGGAAAGAAAGGTACTTCTTTCACTCTGGTGGCTCTCTGGGGCAAGCTCCTGAGCAAGCCTGGCTTTAAAATGTTAATGTTGTGGCTGAAAGAGTAAAGCAACCCCTGTTCTACTTCAGTCCAGTTCCCTGCTAATGGCCTGGGAAAAGCAGCGGAAGATGGCCCAAGTACCTGGGCCCCTGCCATCTACATGGGAGACCTGGATGACGCTCCTGGCTCCTGACTTCAGCTTTGCCCAGACCTGGCTTTTGTGGCCATCTGGGGAATGAACCAGTGGATGGAAGATCTCTCTCTCTGTCTCTCCCTCTCTGTAGCTGTGACTTTCAAATAAACAAATAAATAAGATTAATAAAAAATGTTTTAATGTAGATGAAGGCCACACTAGAAAATATAAGACCTTGCCAAACAAATAAATCCAATATAAGACCTGGCTAAAAGCTTTTCTCTTTGTTTTTCCTCTCAGTGGAGCAGACTGTTCATCATGGTATAACAATCCAGGGAAAGAGTTCATGGTGACTCCTGCTCCAAGCAACTGCATACCCATCTAAGGAGCTGTTGTTCTTGATATCCCCTCCCCTCCCAGGTCTCCCTTTGCTACTTCTTCCTCTTTCCCCTCCTCCCCTGTACAAGCTTGGTATGGGATGAGAAAAGTATGTAGAAAATGCATCATAAACTATAAAGCATTTTTTTTCTCTCTTTTTTTTTTTTTTTTATTATTTTTGACAGGCAGAGTGGACAGTGAGAGAGAGAGACACAGAGAGAAAGGTCTTCCTTTGCCGTTGGTTCACCCTCCAATGGCCGCCGCTGCAGCCGGCGCACCGCGCTGATCCGATGGCAGGAGCCAGGATCCAGGTGCTTTTCCTGGTCTCCCATGGGGTGCAGGGCCCAAGCACCTGGGCCATCCTCCACTGCACTCCCTGGCCATAGCAGAGAGCTGGCCTGGAAGAGGGGCAACCGGGACAGAATCCGGCGCCCCAACCGGGACTAGAACCCGGTGTGCCGGCGCCGCAAGGTGGAGGATTAGCCTATTGAGCCACGGTGCCGGCCTATAAAGCATTTTTTTTAAGATTTATTTATTTATTTGAAAGTCAGAGTTACACAGAGAGAGGAGAGGCAGAGAAAGAGAGAGAGAGGTCTTCCATCTGCTGGTTCACTCCCCAATTGGCCGTAATGGCCCAAACTGTGCTGATCAGAAGCCAGGAGCCAGGAGCTTCTTCCAGGTCTCCCACACGGGTGCAGGTGCCCAAGGACTTGGGCCATCTTCTGCTGATTTCCCAGGCCATAGCAGAGAGCTGGATTGGAAGAGGAGCAACCAGAACTCGAACTGGCACCCATATGGGATGCCGGTGCTTCAGGCCAGGGCATTAACCCACTGTACCACAGCGCTGGCCCCTATAAAGCTTTTTTTAATTTAAAGGATTTTATTTATTCACTTGAGAGGCAGAGTTACAGCCAGAGGGAGGGAGAGACAGAGAGAAAGGTCTTCCAACTGCCAGATCACTTCCCAAATGGCCACAATGGCCAAAACCAGGAGTCAGGAGCTTCCTCCAGGTCTCCCTTGTGCATGCAGGAGCCCAAGCACTTGGGCCATTTTCTGCTGCTTTCCCAGGTCATTAGCAGGGAGCTGGATCATAATAGGAGCAGCTGGGACATGAACTGACACCCATATGGGATGCCAGTGGTGTAGGTAGAGGCTTAGCCTAGTATGCCGGTCCCAACTATAAAGCCTTTTATAAATGTACATGAATATTGGGATAAACATGTTCAATTTTATAATACCATGGAAGAAGTTATAGAAAAGTGTATAATTCTTGTCATTTTTATATGGTTCTCCAGGTTCGAGGCAAGTCCCCCAGAACTCAAGTAGATAGTGAATACCAGGAGTCCTGGCCCCCTCATTCAAGTAAGTACTCATTATTGCTCAGTAAGGTGTCTGAGCGTGTGACCAGAAACGTAGTATCTTTCGTGGTACCATTATTTTGGGGGATAGAATGTTTCTTATAATGGTTCACTTTATAATATTTTATTTTTGTAGCAGTACTGGAATTGAGCAGTACTGAAATTGACAGGGAAGATACACCATTGTTACTACCACCACCCCAAGTGCCATTTAGCCATGTGCAGGATGCCACTGACTCCGAGGGGTCAAAATGTCTTCGGAAAACATACACGCTCAAAACATTTACACTGAACAGAGCAAAATGTAAAACACAAAAACTTGGATACAGCTGCAGCTCATTCTACAGTCAAAAATAGCACAAAAAATTTCCACTTCTTCTTAGAGACAGTGAATTTAATTTCTTTGGAGATTTTCCTGAAAACTTTGAGGATTTAAAGGTCAGTCACTCAATTTAAGTCATACAAAGTTTACACCATCTAGTGGCCATGTTTAGGAAGTGTGTTTTAACCTGCTTGGTGCCCACTCAACATTTTTTTTCCTGTTTGGTCCAACTTGTTGGAAATCTACTCTGCCTGGTAATTTCTATTTTAATTTATATCTTACCTTTTGGTTTAATAATGTTCACCTTTTAAATATTTTACTCAGGCCTAATCTGTAATTACTTAAATGATAACAAGGACCGAATGGTAAAAAGCTGATGTGAACCAGTTTTCTATGTTACATGTACAATTTTAAAAACCACATTATAATTAAGTCTTAAAGTAGCACACTTAAAATAGTTGCACAAATATAAAATGTAAAAATTTTGAGAGTAAATAAAGCAGCATTCTCAAACTTACAATCCAGATATCTTTCCCTCTTGGGTGAAGTATCTGTACTGGAAATGAAACAGATTATTTTAGTACCAAAATAGTTTCAGTTTCTTTTTCCAGCAGTTCTTTGAAATGGTTCATTTCTATTTTCTACACAGGTTTGTACTTCAGTACTTTCTCTACATTAGTATAAACTGCTAATATAAATGGGCCTAAATATTTGGAAATTCTTTTTCTTCAAAAATTTAATAAATTCCTCTCTCTCTGGAAAAATTCTTTTATGCATATATGTTGCTAATTCAAAATATTGCAAATGATTTTATAGCTTCTTTTAACAAGTGCGTTAATCTAAATGATATCCACATTTGTAAACAAACTGAAATTCCTCTCATTTCATCAAATGCAAAGCATGATATAACTCTGCCAGTTCTCTAGCTACTGACTAATTTCTCTACATCAAACTTCTTAATAGTCTTTATTTCCTTTTCTTCCTCACTCTCCACTTACTACTCAGTCTACTACAGCCTAACTCACTCAGTTACCCCACTGAGTGTTCTTTCTGTTATGTTACCCTTGACTTTCTTGTTGCCTAATGAAGTAGTTACTTTTCACATCTTATCTCTGCTTGTCTTTTCAAAAGCATTTCATATTCTTAAATGGCATTCCCATCCATGTCTTGTTGTGTCTTCTTTTTTTTTTTTTTTTACTGATTTCATTTTATTTGAGCAAAAAGAACTTGTTCAGTCATCACATAAGTAAGCTATCTGGCCAGAGTAGCACAGAGGGATGGACATGTGTTTTGGTGCACAATGGTTCTGTCACTTTCTAATTATGTAACTTCCTGAGTCTATGCAGATTATTATTTTTTGTTTTACAGATGAGGGAACAGGGGTTTAGGTCAAATGCTTCCTATATCTCAGTATTTCAGTAACTAGTAAGCATCAAATTCACGTCTGGACTAAAGAAATACAATGAAAGGAAATGCTTCCCCTCTTTTTTCCTTCACTCTAGAAAAGCCCTTAGGTGATAATTATTGATGATATCATCTACATTTTATAATGTAATGGCCATGTGGTAGGCACTATCACATATTTCATACACGATATCATGTTTACAAATACTGAAGGCAAAGAGCAAAATTGTATAGGTTAAGAAGCTAAGATTCATAAAAACAGTCCATTCTATTGTTAGAATAACAGTAAATGAAGAGCTTGGATTGAAAATATTTTAACTGTCTCAATCCCAAACTATTTTCTTTTCTTGAAAACTTTCTTCTCCTTAAACTTCCATGCCAACCTATTATTCATTCAACAGATACTAGTTGATTGTTCATTATGTACCATCAGTGTTCGACACTGGAGATAGAGATGAACAAGATGCACGTGGTACCTGCCCTCACTGGACCTGAAGTCTAGAGAAGTAGATGTCCGATTTTTCTCTGACTTGTCTCTGAACTCTCCAGAGTCTCCTTTTCTCCTCCTCTTCTTTGTAACTCTTTAACGTTGATGTGTCTTGGAATTCCATTTGAGGCACATAGACTTAGGCCTCCTCATAATCTCTTTAGGCAATCTTTCTACTCCCATGGATTCAGCTACCTTTATGTGCTGATTATTTTAGCACTTTTATCTCTAATTCTAGCCCTTTTCTGAGCTTCATGATTGTTTTTGAATGAGAACAAAATCACTCTCTCTGTAGGTCCAAAGGCACTTCAAACTCGTATGCAAAGCTTGACATAAAACAGAAAAATATGCAGTACAGAATCACACAGATCTTGGATTCAGTTTTCGCTCTGTCACTTGATAGAATGTGTGACCATGGGCAATTGGGTTAACTAATCTCACTGTATCTTAGTTTAGCTTCCTTATTTATGATACAGAAATAATCTTAAGTATATAATCATTAAGTGAAATATAAGGAAATAATCTTGTAAATTTGCAGAATAGAATTGAGAGTTAAGAATAAACGCATTTATCTATAACCATTTGACCAATAGTCTCTTCAACAAGTGGTAATTTCAAACTGGATATCACAATGAAGTGGGATGAGACCTTTACCTCACATCATATAGAAAATTAACTAAGAATGGATCATGGCTGGCGCTGTGGCTCAATAGGCTAATCCTCCGCCTGCAGCACCAGCACACTGGGTTCTAGTCCCGGTCAGGGTGCCGGATTCTGTCCCGGTTGCTCCTCTTCCAGTCCAGCTTTCTGCTGTGGCCCGGGAGTGCAGTGGAGAATGGCCCAAGTGCTTGGGCCCTGCACCCCATGGGAGACCAGGAGAAGCACCTGGCTCCTGGCTTCGGATCAGCACAGTGCGCCGGCCGCAGCGGCCACTGGGGTGTGAACAATGGAAAAGGAAGACCTTTCTCTGTCTCTCTCTCTCACTGTCCACTCTGCCTGTCCAAAAAAAAAAAAAAAAGGATCATAGAGCTATATATGAGTCAAAACTAGAAAGAGAAAGAGAGAGAGAGAGATCTTCCATCCACTGGTTCACGCCCCAAATGGTCACAACGCCAGAGCTGCTGTGATCCAAAGCCAGGAGCCAGGAGCTTCTTCTGGGTCTCCCATGCAGGTGCAGGGTCCCAAGGACTTGGGCCATCTTCCACTGCTTTCCCAGGCCATAGCAGAGAGCTGGTTCAGAAGTGGAGTAGCCAAGACTAAAACTGGTGCCCATATGGGATGCCGGCACTGTAGCAGTAGCTTTACCCATTATGCCACAGCGCTGGCCCCTTATAAAATCATTTTTACCAGTATCATACTAATTCGGAGCTAGCCTTGTTAGTGAAAAGAATATAACTGTGGAGTTAAACAGAGCTATATTTTAACTAGTGCTGCCACTCAGGACCTTGCGGAACTCAGGAGCTGAACCCTTTACCCTCTAACCTCTATTTCTCAAGGGTAAATGTGGGTGAGAATTACTAGCTAATGAAGTAGCCATGAAAATTGAAAGAGGTACTGTGTTCAAGTTGTTAGTAGAGTAGCTGATCTGAAGACCATAGTTTGAAAACCACTGAACCGTAGATTTTTTTTTTAAGATTTATTTATTTGAAAGGCAGAGTTATACAGAGAGAGAGGGAGAGGCAGAGAGAGAGAGGTCTTCCACCTGCTAGTTCACTCCCCAAATGGCTGCAATGGCCAGAGCTGTGCCAATCCAAAGCCAGGAACCAGGAGCTCCTTCCGGGTCTCCCATGCAGGTACAGGGGCCCAAGGACTTGGGCCATCTTCTACTGCTTTCCCAGGCCATAGGAGGGAGCTGGATCAGAAGTGGAGTGGCCAGGACTCAAACTGGCACCCATATGGGATGCCAGCAATGCAAGCAGAAGCTTTACCCTCTATGCCACAGTGCTAGCGCCTGAACAATAGATTATTATCAATATTTACTGAAAGATGGCAGGTTTTACTTCAAACATATAATGATTATGCTAAATATGAATGGCCTGAGTGTATCAAAAGATTAGATATTGTCAAATTGGATGATAAAGTAAGATTCAATTATGTATGATTTATACAAATCTCACTGTAAATTTATCAATATAAAAGTAAAAGGATGGAAAAATAAATGCATGGAAACACAAATCAGTAGGAAACTGGTATCGTTATATTAGTAACAGATGAAATGTACTTCAGAACAAAGAATATTTCCAGGTATAAAGAGAGAGACTACATAATGATTAAGAGGTCAATTCATCCAAAAAGACAGCAATCCTAAAAATGTGTATTCCTAATAGCAATTTCAAAATGTAGCACAAACTGATAAAAAGGAGAAATAGATAAATCTGCAATTATAGTTGGAGATTTTAATACTCTGCAGTAATCAATACGACTAGAAGGCAGAACAATATTAAGAATATAGAAAGCCTGGACAACACTATCAAAGAACTTCCAAATGACATGTGGAGAACTCCAACTAATCATGGTAAAATGTACAGTCTTTTCGAATGCTTTGGAATATTCACCAGGGTAGTCCATGTTATGGCCATAAAACTCAACAAATTTGAAAGAATTGGAATAATATAGGGTGTATTTTCTTACCATTATGAAATAAAACTAGAGATCAGAAACAGAAAAATATCTGGAAAATGCCCAAATATTTAGAAATTGGTCATTGCACATCTGGATATCCTGTGGGTCAAAGAGTAATTAATAAAGAACATTGCAAAATATTTTGAATACAAGGAAAACTCAGTGCCTAGCCGTGTTGCAGAGCAGGTTAAGCCACTACCTGATCCACAAGTATCCCTTATCACAAGCGCCAATTTGAGTCCTGGCTGCTCTGCTTCTGATACAGCTCCCTGCTAAGGTGCTAAGAAACCAGCAGAAGATGATCTGAGCACTTGTGCTCCTGCACCCACACGTGAGCCTTGGATGGAGTTTTAAGGTCCCATCTTCAGCCTGGCTCAGCCCCATTAATTGAAGCTATTTGGAAAGTGAAACAGTGGATAGAAGGTCTTACTCTCTCTTTCCCTCTCTGCCTTTCAACTAAATAAATCTTTTTTAAAAATGCAATACATAAGGGTCCGGCATTTTGGTGTAGCGGGTAAAGCTGCCACCTGCAGTACCAGCATCCCATATGGGCACTGGTTCGAGATCTGGCTGTTCCACTTCTGATCCAGCTCTCTTCTATGGCCTGGGAAAGCAGTAAAAGATGGCCCAAGTCCTTGGGTCCCTGCACCCACATGGGAGACCCGGAAAAAGTTCCTGGCTCCTGGCTTCAGATCAGCACAGCTCCAACCATAGCAGCCATCTGGGGAGTGAACCAGAGGATGGAAGACCTCTCTCTCTCTGCCTTTCCTTCTCTCTCTGTGTAACTCTGACTTTCAAATAAATAAATAAATCTTAAAAATGATACATAAAATTTGTGGGATTCAGCAAAAGCAGTGCTTAGAATAAAATTTGTGGCATTAAGTACATACATGAAAATCAGGGGAAAGGACTCCAATCACTGGTCTCAATTATCTGAGCTTCCAGCCTCAGAAACATGAAAAACAAGAGCAAACTAAATCCAAAGCAAGCAAAAGGAAGGAATAGATATAGGAATGGGAATCAATGACAATGAAAACAGAAAA